GGCTGTGAAGGGCCAAGGGACGCTGTGAAGGGCCAAGGGAGGCTGTGAAGGGCCGAAGGGGGCCGTGAAGGGCCAAAGGGGGCCGTGAAGGGCCGAAGGGGAGGCTGTGAAGGGCCAAAGGGGGCTGTGAAGGGCCAAGGGAGGCTGTGAAGGGCCAAGGGACGCTGTGAAGGGCCAAGGGACGCTGTGAAGGGCCGAAGGGGGCCGTGCGAGCCGAACTAAGTGCTGTGAAAGAGGCTTCGCAAGTTAATTATTGTCTCATGGCACTGCAGCCCTGTGCGCGGAGTGGTCCGTGTTCATGGGGGGTGGTAGGTAGAAAGGTTCCCTTGATCTGATTAGTGCAGGAGTCTCTCTAAGAAACCCGTGGGAAAAAAAAAAAGTACGCATCTCTTTTTGCATCAGAATTTAGGTGGGTTATGAATTTATCCATCAGCATTTTTTTTCTGGCTTCAAACTTTGTTTACGCACGAGTATCAACACTAAACAGTCAGTGTGCAAACAAAGGTGGAATGAGTCTTGTGTGCCAGGCAAACAAATGAAAACCACTATTCCTAGAAGTGACTGAGCATTTAAATTCAGGCCATTGGCAAGAGACAATGATCATCCTCTGTCGCTTAGGGAAAAACAGCAAATGCATTTCTAGCATGCCCCACAAGCTCTCATTCTGGTACAGATCAGGAAATATTAACACCACTGTAAAAGCACCTGTTTGCAGTTCATGGGCACAATTCTGACTCATCTTGAAATGATACAAAGGAGCACTGCACTAAGGTGGCTGAGGAAACAGGCACCTGTCCATCAGCGAGAGGCTGGAGAGCTTGGCATAGAGTCCTCTCCATAAATACTTGAGGAGTTAACACCAGGGAGAGGAAAGAACTCTTTAATTTGAAGGACAAAGCTGTGAAGAAACTTTCACTAGTTTCTGGAAACAGATTTTTAGCTATGAGCAGTAAAGGGTCTTCCAAGTCTTTTTACAATAAGACATGAATTTTTAAAAAAGTCCAGTTTTAAGATGTTATTTGTTAAGTTTAAGCAATAGACTAATTCATATGACTGCCTCTGACAGAAAGGAACTTGCTGACCCAGACCATATCTATGCCCTATATATTATATACAAACAAATTCTGGCATAGTTATGTCAAGTGAGAAAGGTCTAGAATCTGGCCATAGGTGTATGAATGGGTTAAACCATGCTCAATCAAACTATCTGGTAAAAACATGATGCAACTCCTAAAAGTAATTTAGTCCACCCAAGTGTCAAAATTGCCATTGGATGAGTCAGGGCTAAATTTATCACCTCCAAATGCCTACCTTTCAATGCACAGCCGGTTTACTTCTCAAGCTTTCAAATGTATAGGCTGCTTATTTGTATGCAGCTGCCACAGTGCAGTCTCAAGATTCATGTCTCAAGCTTCACTTCTTAGTTCCCATGTCCATAAAGTCAAATGCTGTATGGGAAACTTCTTCCTTACTGCTCTGGGAGCGTATTCCAGCATTGATTTGCACCGAGGCTTGTTAAGTCCTGTTTCAGCTTCCGAGTAGACCCTGTCAGGGGCACATCCTGCGGTAGGCACATAGCAACTCACCTCTACGGGGTGCATTGCTTGAGTCTGTTGTGTTGAGATTTATCAACTTTTGAATAAAAAAATAGTCATGAGCTTCTGGTAGCAGAAAAGACCCCTGAAATGGGATGTTTAAAGTGTTTGTTCAAAGGGGCATGATTTTTTCCTTTCCTTTTCATCTCTCACCCTGTGAAAGAAGCACTAGTGAGCCTTCCAGCTCCATCATTCCTTTCCATCTCTTGGCCAGAGGAGGTCCCCAAGTCCACCCATGGTAGTGTTGAACACGGTGATTCTGCTATGCCATGCTTTCCATATCAGAAATCTTTATTTCTAGTAGCTACAGATCCTTCTAATTCCAACCTTCCTTCTCTGTGCCAAAATATCCTGGCTTCTATTTCAGGCTTTATGGAGAAAATAACATCCCCGGCATTCTTGTTGACTGTATTTGTATAGCAGACACCGATTCTAGAGAAAAAGGGAAAAACTTGCTCAGTTAGTGCAGCCCAAAACTACTGACTGACTTTCCCAATGGCAAAAAGTTTAAAACTTGGCTTTGTCAGAAATTAAGTCAAACAGCAAACTCTTACTGATGGAACAACACCCTAATTTTAAAAGCAGGAGCCCTCAAGAACTAACACATGCATTTCTTGAAAGCTCTAAGTGTTCTTGTGTGGGAGGAAGGGGAAAGAACTTCGACTTCAACTGTATGTAACACCACCCTCTGTTTACATGTACCAGAACAGCAATATAAAAATGAAGGTAGGAATAGGGTGTCTTTAACAACATAATTACTAATCAAAGTGTTACATGAAAGCGGTGTTGATAAGCTGCTGTCACCAGAATAAGTCTAACATCTCCACTTCCTGTCACATACTCAATTATATTCATTTCTTGATGTTGCAAAATCATTCTTTCTTTCTTTTTCCTGAATTTTATAAATGGTAACGTCATCATGAGGCATGTGGATGCAATCACTTGTAGAAAATGATAGACTATTTAACTGTTTAGCAATATTAGCTGTCAGAATAAGATTGGAAAACATGTAGATCCTACATAAACTGCAGTGAAGCTTAGGAAAGCAAAACGGACAAATGAAAACCAGAGAATTAAAGACTCCCATCCATGCGGAAATCGTCAGAGAATCATATTTATTGACAACATAAGATTACTAGAGTTCTGATCTTATGTTTCATCTGAAAGAGTCCCTTCAGCAGCACGGTGTCAGAAACAATGATCCTTCACCACACTGTAACATTCCTGTGTCAGAAACTACAAGATTTAATATATATTATATATTAAATTATATTTATTATATATAGCTCTCAGATCACAAGTATCAGCCTTATGCCACATGGCAAATTCCTCACTGGGAATCCCGACTGCAGCCACAAACCAGATCCATGTGTGTGGCCCCTTGGCTGTCAGTACTCAACACCCAAGAGATATGTTTGGGCTGGTGTTTGTCAGCTGTTCAATTAGACCATTACTGGATGAAAAATCAGTATTTATAATATGGAAGAAGTTTCTCTTCAGTCTCTCT